GTTTATGAAGGTGATTGGAAAAATAAGAGGCGATGCTAATTTTCTTTAGTGACATGGAGCCACGATTGAGTTCTGTGACTGTGTCTAAATGCACCATAAAAGGGTCCTTAAAGAAGAGAGCCTGCACTCTACTTGAGGAAAATAGCCCACTCTATTCTATTCTTCTCCTCTATCTGTCTGGGTTAATCCTGCAGGCCAATTTAGCTTCCTTAATCCACCTGGTCCTATACACAGATCATTCCTATTAGTGTCCTCACCCCAGTTTGTGGAGAGAAATCTTGTCCAGATTTTTTTTTTTTTCCTGATGGCCACAAAAGTCAATCTCTTATTCTCTTTGCCTTACTCTAAAAATTCATACCCAGCCAGCATTCTAATTTTATTCACCAGAGATTCTGGATGTTGTAGACTGATCTTGCAAGAGTTTTTGGCTTTGGGGCTCATCTTTGAAAAAAAAAAAAATCTATCCCTGGTGTACTTTTTTCTTCTCTGGGGTCTAGGAGGGAAAAGCAATGAATTAGGCAGTGTATTCAGTTGAACACTGCCTCCCAAAAAGATGTGTCCACGTCTGAACCTCCAGCATCTAAGAATGTAAACTTATTTTAAAATAGAGTCTTGGCAGGTGCAATTAAATTCAGCATCTCAGCGTGGGATTATTCTGGATTTAGAATGGGCTCTAAAAGTCTAATAACCAATGCAGGTACCAGAGAAAGGCGAGCCAGAGGAGATCCAGAGGAGAAAGCCATATGAAGACGGAGCGGAGATTGCAGTGATGCCTCTACGAGCCAAGGAATACCAAGGATTCTCACCACCCCTAGACGCTAGGAGAGAGGCCAAGCAACACTCTCTTCCTCATCTTATTACTGATTATTGCTTAAACCAGATATATGAGGCTGGGAGGAGCTGCGGCCCCCGGGGTGTGCGAGGACCCAGGACCCACAGCCCGTTTCTGTCCCTGGAGGTGGCTGTGCCCAGGCCTGCTCTGCTGGCCCTCGGGCTCCCAGTGGACCCACTAAAGCTGAAATTTCCTTTTTCTTTTTCAAAGCATCATCAGACCAGCAGATCCTTTGATAGCCTCCAGGTCAGGTTGGTCCGTTAGCATGGGAAAGCCCCGTGCCTCCCTTCCCTCTCCCCTCCCCCTTTATAGCCTTAAACTTACCTATAACTCCTCCCTTTGTTTTCTTTCTGTCCTTCCTTCCCCCCCTCCCCCCCTTTTTCCTCTTTTACTTTTAATCAGTCGGGGTTTTCAGCCAGCACTTTGGAAATCCTGGCCCAGAAGCTCAGAGGACTTCGGGGTCCGCCGCGAGGAGGGCCCGCGTCCCGGGCGAGCTGGGGAGGCCCCGCCGGCCGCCTTGGGGAGAGCGGGGTGGGGAAGGGGTTGAAGGGGGGGAGGAAGGAGGCTTTCGGCTGGAAGTCGCACTTGCCCGGCTCTGGCCGCCCCCTCCAGCGGGGGAGCCTGTGGGCGACGGGGAGCAGGGAGGCTGCCCCCTTGGAATTAACCGTGTGTGTGTGTGTGTGTGTGTGTGTGTGTGTGTGTGTGTGTGTGTGCGCGCGCGCGCGCAAGTGTGTGTGTTCCTATTAATCTGCTCTAAAACAAAACAGTGAAAATGGCAGAGCAGGACCCCTCTCTGCACAGAAACACTAAGATAAGTGTTAGAATTGGCACTGTGGGACTTTAGAAAGTAGTCAAAGGCTTATAGCAACCTAGCGAACATTCAGTTAATAAAATGATGACTTAAACACAACATAATGGGGATGTTACTAGCTACCTTAAGAAAATAAGAAGGGTTGCTGAAACCGATTTGGCTTAGTGGATAGAGCGTCAGCCTGCGTACTGAAGGGTCCCAGGTTTGATCCTGGTCAAGGGCATGTACCTTGGTAGCGGGCAGATTCCCTGTGGGTGTTGTGCAGGAGGCAGCTGGTCCATGTTTCTAGCTCTCTATCTCTTTCCCTTCTTCTCTGTAAAAAAATCAATAAAATACTTTAAAAAAAAAAAGCTACAAGAGAAAACCATGAACAAGTAGGTGAAACAGACAAATATCTAGAAACATAAACTATCAGAACTGACTCAAAGTGGGGAAAGATAATCTGAAGACTTATAAATAAGCAAATAAATTGCATCCTACAAACACCCCTTGACAAAGAAAAGCCGGAAGCCAGATAGCTTCCCTAGTGAAGTGTATCAGAAGTTTAAAGTACAGTTAACACCAGTTCTTCTCAAACTTCTTTAAGAAATGGAAGAGGAATGAACACTTCAAAATTGTTCCATGGGCCCAACATTACCCTGGAGCTAAAACCAGACAAAGATATGACAAAAAAAGAATACTATAAATCCAAATCCTCTATGAATATAGATGCAAAAAAATCCTCCATAAAATATCTGCAAATTCAGTCCAGCTGAATGATAAAGGATTACACACCACGTCCAAGGAAGATTTATTTCAGGAGTGCCAGGGGGATCAATGTATGAAAATCAATCAATGCCATACACAATATTAATAAAACGAAGAAAAAATAGTCATCTCAATTGATGTAATAAAATAATTTTACCAGCACTCTTTCATGATAAAAATATTAAACAAACTAGGAACAGAAGAGAACTTCCTCACTCTGTATAAGGGCATTTCTGAAAATTGTAACATCATAGTCAGTGATGAAAGGTTGAAAAATCTCTCACTGAGATCAGGAACAAGATAAGAATGTCTTTTATCCAAAATTCTAAAAGCAGCATTGTCCTGAAAATTCTAAACAGAACAGAAAAATGAAATAAGAGGAATCCAAATTGGAAAGGAACAAGTAAAACTATTCATCTCCCTTGTAGATGATATGATTTTATTTGTAGATAATTCCTATACACACGGACACAACTCTAGTAGGGCTAAGAAACAAATTGAGTGAGCCTGGTCAGTGCAGCTCAGTTCGTGTCAGCAGGTGGACTAAAGGGTCAGAGGCATGTGCCTTGGTTGCAGGCTTGATCCCCACCCCAGTTATGTGTGTATGTATGTGTGTGTGTGGGGGGGAGGGTGCTGGAGGCAACCCATCCACTTGTCTCTGTCATGTCCATGTTTCTCTCCCTCCTTCCCTCTCTCCTTTCCACTTTCTTTAAAAAGTCAATGGAAAAAATATCCTTGGGTGATGATTTAAAAAAAATTCAGCGAAGTTGCAGGATAAAGGAGTAACACAAAAATCAGTTGTATTTCTACACATTAGCAAAGGACAATAAAAAAAAGAAATTTAAGAACACAATTCAATTTTATTTACTGATGAGAGAGAGAGAGAGAGAGAGAGAGAGAGAGAGAGAGAGAGAGAAAGAAGGAGGGAATTTGTTGTTCCACTTAACCATGCATTCATTGTTTTATTCTCATATGTGCACTTTGGGTATGAGGACAATACTAAGCTACATGGCCAGTACCTCAATTCAATTTTCAATAGTTTCAAAAAGAATAAAATATTTAGGAATTAATTCAACCAAGTAGAGGCAATACTTAATACTGAAAACTACAACATATTACTGGAATTAATGTACACCTAAATGAATGAAATGACATTCTGTGTTCATGATATTTTCAAGATGGCAGTAGTACCCAGAGTGATCTACATATCCAATGCAATCTCTATGGAAAGCTCAATGGCTTCTTTTCTTTTTGGCAGAAATTTATATGGAATTGCAAGGGACAAATTTGAGAGAGATCAAAATAATTTTGAAAAAGAAAAACAAAGTTGGAATATTCACATTTCCCAATTTCAAAACATACTACAAGGATACAGTAGTCAAAACTGTGGAGCTGACATAAAGACAGACATATATTCTGGACATTGCATATAATTGGAATTATAGGAATTCTGGACCTTTCTTGTAAGTGGAATCATGTACAGAATAATAAATCCAAAGACACAATAGGAGACACATTAGGGATTTAATGAGTGCTTATTAGTATGGGGTCTCCTTTGGCGGTGACGAATGTTCCGGAACTAAATAAATGGTGATGGTTGTACAACACTGAGTGTTCTAACTGCCACCGAATTGTACACTTTAAAACAATTAATTTATGTTCTGTGAATTGCACCTCAATAAACAGTAACTGGAGGCACGCCTCAGACCTGGGAGAAAGGGGCGTGGCTTCCTGCCCAGTTGAAGTTGGATGAGTCCCTGCAGCATCCCTGCTGGGGCTGAGAAGCCCCAAACACAGAAGCCTGCTGGCTGTGGGTTCCTGGGAAAAATATCCCAACTTGGTGGGGGGGAGGGAGGCTCCAATACTGAGGCGAGTAAGGGGAAGTGAGGTCTTCCTTCCATCTATCTTAAGAGGTGACTTTTGACATTGTATCACCTGAGATCTGCACGTGTCTTACAATCTGCAGAATGTGCTCTTACATTGCACTTTTATTTTTAAGAAATACATGAGATGGCCCTCACCGATTTGGCTCATTGGATAGAGCAACGGCCTACGGACTGAAAGGTCCCAGGTTGGACTCTGGTCCAGGGCATGCACCTTTGTTGTGGGCACATCCCTAGTGGGGGGTGTGCAGGAGGCAGCTGATCAATATTTCTAACTCTCTCTCCCGCTCCTTTCCTCTGTAATATATATATATATATATATATATATATATATATATATATATATATATATATAAACAAGCTTCTTTTTAAAAAAAAATACATGAAATGATGGTGAGTCTCAGAAACAATGCTGTCTTTGATTCCATGAAAGTGCATTTAAATTTCTAGTCATGTGTTTGTATCTAATATTTGATGTCTGTCTTCCCCCACTAGACCTCTTGCATGGTGCCAGCATAGGTGCTCCGTGATTGTTGACCGAATAAATGAACGAATGGAAGAAACTTTTTAAAAAATTGAGCCTTGGCTCTGACACTTGCTGGCAGTTTGAAACCGGAAAGTCAATGCACCCCATTCAAGCTTCGTGTTCCTGGTTCACAAACCAGGCAGCAGGCGCGAGGCATCCTCCAGGCTAATTCCAACCCAATGAAAAAGGCAGGAACCTGCGTTGGGTTTTTAAAACCCTTTTTATTATCAATGTATTAATTCCATACAAGGGGGATTGAGGGGAAAGGAAGAGATCTGCTGGCGAGGAAGCGGCTTACAATGTTAAAAACCGCCATGGGCTAAACTGCAGCTCACAAAGCAGGAAGGGGTCGGTAGGGGACAGGGCAGTGGTCTGGGCCACCGGCGATGCCTCTGGCTTTCGGTGGTTCTTTAAGCCCCAGGGACTGCAGATGGAAGAAAGAAAAGAAAAAAAAAAAGACATCAGACATCAGAAATCAAAAGGATGCGACCCATTCCTCCGTTTTCTTGCAAGCCCGCACCAGGAATTCAGACACGTATGGACAAGGATAGCTCCGTCTGCGTGCAGACCTCCTCTCAGTATCAACCAGCTCTGGGCACAGGGTCTGTCCATGGAGAAGGGACCTTGCCAGCAGCCACCACCCCTCCCCCTCCCAACGTCCCAGATCGCGGAGCGTGTCTGCCGCCCGCCAGACCCGCTGGCCTCTCTGGGCTCCCGCTCCCCGCCCCGCTGGCCTCTCTGCCTCTCTGGGCCCCGCTCCCTCCGGAGCACCGGCCGCGGGGGCTGCGAGAGGAAAGCTGGGCATTGGAGCAGGCGCCCAGGGCCTGCCACACGGGACGCCAGGAGCAGAATATAAAGGCGCTGCCTCGCCCTTGGCACGTCCCCAAACATCTCTGGCACCTGATGCTGGCTGGCGGAGAGACCCAATGAACTCACATAGAGGACCCGGTGTAGGTCTGCTCTGCAGTCTGGGAGCCTTGGGTTCCAGTCCTATTGTCTGCCTCCAGGGCCCCCTCCAAAACCACCTAATGGCTTCCTACAGTTTCTAGAACAAATTCACATTCCGACCAATCATCCCTTCTTCGACCTACAAAACGCTACAATTATCTGGCCTCTGCCCGCCTCTCTGATCTAGTTGGGTACCCTTTGCCTTTCCTTCCTCTTGACCTGCCATTCATTCTACCCGCATTCTTTGCACTTGAGAGTTCCTCTGTCTATAGAGGCTATTTTTCCCCCTCATCAGTTGGGTTCCCAGAGCACTCTAAGATAGTCTCCCCCTCCTGATCAGACTTCATTCTCATCCATCAAGCTGGTTTTACAAACTCATCCCTTAAAATACATTGTTACAGTGTTAAAAGTCCGTTTCCTAGACGGTAAGCTCTATGAGGGCAGGGCTCCTTCAGTTCTGTGCCCTACCTAAAAGGGGTCTGATCACATGATAGGATCTCAGTTAAGCGAGGAAGGAAGGCTGGGAGGGAGGGAGGGAAGGAAGGGCGTGTCTGCTTGGCTTGCAAAGCTTGGGTTTGGTTATAAAAGGGCCGCTCCATTTTCATTTGTCTGGGGGCCCAACGGAATCATTGAATTCTCTTCCACTGCTCCGGATTCCTGCCCCTGCCATTGGGCCCAGGTCTTCTGCAGAGTCTGGGACTTAAACTTCAATCGGAGGAGCGAGAGGGTGGGCAGGTGAAAGGAGATCTTCCTCCCCCTGGAACCCCAGGGAGGCGCTGCACCCAGAGTAAGACTCTCTTCTCTGTCCCAGGCTCCCCTGAGGCCCAGGGGGCCTGGTGCCCCAGTTCTGAGCCCACTGGATTGATGTCGGTATTCTCAAAGCCGGTGTTTACTTTAAATATCCGTGCTAATTTCGAATATTGCTTCATATATGTATTTTAATAAAATGGTTCCCGGAGGGAAAAGTTGGGGTTGGCACTTTAGGCGAGCAGAGGTGGAGGTGGGGCGTGGGCGCTGGGGAAAGGCTTGTGGTGGTAGAATAACAGGAAAGACCACACACACACACACACACACACACACACCCACCCATCTCTCTGAGCAATCGATCTCTCCCGCTCTCCCGTCCGGATGACGGAAAGCTTAAGAGAGTGAAAAGCTTCAGAAAGGTTCTTTTTCCCCGGAGTGCGAGTGCGGAGTGCTTATCGAACCCCGCTGCGGCTGCGGCTTAGGCTGCGAGGGTTGGCGAGGTCTCCATCCCAGATGCTTCCAGAGTCCCTGGGCGAAGCTCTGAAAAGCCCCGTCGCTTAGAGCTTAGAGCGGAGGGGCAGGTTGCGTCTCATTTTGCAACGGAGCCGGGAATGACAGATCTCTGCCAGGCGATGCGGGTCGCAACTGGTTTTGGAAGTCCCAAGGTTGGTCCCGCGACTGGGGAAGGAAGGAACGGCCTTCGAGCTTGACTTGCACACGTTAGGTTTGGTTATAAAGGTTTACTCGGTTTTCATTTGCCTGGCGCCCAAGGAAACCATTTCATTCTCTCCCGGGGCTCCCAGGTCTGGCTCCTGCACAGGGCTCCGAGCCCTGAGCTGCGCCTCCTATGTCAGCGTCCCTGGGAGGAGCGAGACGGCATTCTCCCCGGGGAAAGAGGGCGGCCCAATGGGTGCGCGCCCCCCTCCCCCTGCGCTCCAGCCTCCGGACGATGCTCCAGGCGCCCGCCTTGAGCTGCGGGGAGGCTGAGTTTTTGGAGCGTGGGGGGCGGGGTGTAGGGAATGGATTTTGACCTGCTGAAGTCCACCTGAGGCTGTTTCCTACCCACAGTCCTGCAGGGCGGTGTGATCGGGATACCCGGGTTATCCTGTCCGCCGCTGCGAGTGAGCTGAGACCGGTGGCTCCGGTTCTCTCTGATAAAGGGGGGCGCTGGGCTCCCCGAGTTCACTGTCTGAGCTCGGCCATCTCACCTGCACGACCTGGGCCAGCTGCTGCTGCGGCCGCGTTCAGGTAGCGGACGATGTCCCGGTGCCCACACTCCTCAGCCAGGTCCACGGGCAGGCGGCCCCTGGCGTCGCGCACGGCCAGCCGCGCCCCGGCTCGGTGCAGCGCCGCCAGCGTGTCCAGGAAGCCCTCCCGGGCCGCGTCGTGCACCGGCCGCGTGCGGGTGGCGGGGTCCGCGCAGTTGGGGTCTGCGCCGTGGGCCAGCAGCAGCTCGGCCACGCGGGTGCTGCCCATCATCATGACCTGCAGGCGGGACAGAGCAGAGTGGTCAGGGCGAGGGCAGGCGGAGGCGGAGGAGGCAGGATCCGTTAATTTATTTATTTTTATTTAAAAAAAATATATATTTTATTGATTTTTTTTTTACAGAGAGGAAGAGAGAGGGATAGAGAGTAAGAAACATCCATGAGAGATAATCATCAATCAGTTGCCCCCTGCACACCCCCCACTGGGGATGTGCCCGCAACTAAGGTACATACCCTTGATCGGAATGGAACCTGAGACCCCTCAGTCTGCAGACCAATGCTCTATCCACTGAGCCAAACCGGTTTCGTCAGGATCCGTTAATTTAAAGAAACTTCTTGGGAAGCCGCTACCTGGCGTAGACAACCCTACAAGCCACGGGTGTCTAGTTGCTCTTTACTTGCCTTCAGTTACCAACTCTCTTAGCCAGTTCTCCTCCTCATTCCATTTTTTTCTGTACACACATTGAATTCCCATTATATTCTCCAGCCTTTTGCAGAATTCCAGCTACACGCAGAGCACAAGTGAAGGCACAAACACAACAGCAAAAGGGTGAGGGGCAAACCTGCCTAATCTCCTGTACCCCTCCCCCAATTTTGATATAAAATTATGTAAGACCCAGAGAATTGGTATGGTTCACTGCTATATAGAAAGCCTTTGTTAAAAGGTGAAAATTAACACACACACACACACACAGAAAACCTTAGTTCTTGAAAAATTTTTCAGTTCCCTGAGAGGGAGGATGTGGACCTCTTGCTTCCTGTAGGCATAGTGTGGACCTGTTGCTTCCTGTATGCATACTGCAATCAAGCCAAGCCAAGCCGCAGCCTAGATATATGCCCTGACCAGGAATCGAACCAGAAACCTTTTAGTGTCCCCGTTGACTCCCTCACAAACTGAGCCTCTCAGCCATGGCAAACTTCAAATTCTTGGAGTATAAAATGGGAAGGCTTGTATAAAGAGTCCTAAACTTTGTCCCCTGGTAAGCTAAATAACATCCTCCAAAGATGTCCACTTTCTAAGATTCTAAGGCCGTGAATATATTACCTTATATGGCACAAGGAATTTTAATATATTATATTAATATATAAATATTAAATATTGAAAGGCTGAACTTTTATATATTTCCTTATATGGCAAAAAGAATCACTTATTTTAGTGACAGCCTGTATTTAACACAAATCACTTGTGTAATTGTAATAAAATATTAATTTTTATATTAAAAGGCTGGACAGTAGCCTAACATTTAAATATTTAAATCATAATAGCAATCCCATGAAGTAGGGGGGGAATCTAATACAGAAATAATTTGTAGGGTGCTTAATTACCTTTTTGAAAACATTACATTTAATTTAGTAATTAAAATTTTTTTCTATCAACTAAGTATTTCTATGTTATACACACTTTTCATTAGGGTTTTGAAACAAAATCATACTCCCTTTTTTCTAGGTTCTCATCTTCCCCATTTAAAAAGTTAAAACTAATTATCCAACTTTCCTTCTTTTTGAATAATAGGTCTCTTCTAACATATTGCGGAGCTCCAAGGCCAAACTCTAAGTTTCCAAACTGCTGGCGATATTTTAGAGATATTAAATTACGAATCAGGCAAGCATTACTTTGAAAGGACACATGCTTTTACAATTCCCAACCTCTTTAGATTAAAATTCTCTCCACATGTCAAGTCCCAGAAAACCCCAAGTTTTAGGCACTTTCATTTTATTTTTATGTCTTTATTTTAAGTATAAAATTTATCTTATTAGTAGTTTCAGGAAAGGAAGATTGGCTTGTGAAGTTCCAAGTAAAGCTACTTTCTTTTGTCTTGTTAGACTGGAGTTTTTGCAATATGTGTTTGTTCCATAAAAATTTTCTTTTCAGAATCAGAAATCATTGGGAATTAAAACCAGGATGGTAGGATGGTGACTGCCGGGGAAGTATCCGTCGTTTTTTGTTTGTTTGATTGTTTTTGTGTGTGTGTGTGTGTGTGTGTGTGTGTATATATTTTTTTTTTTTGCCTGAGATTAGAAAGTTAATGAAGGCCAACAACAAAAACCTGACCTCTCCCCACCCCCACACAGACCAGCAACAAAAAACTGGAGCGGGGAGAGGAGAAAGGACACTTCTCAACACTGAGGAATTGAAAACTCTACTTCAAATATGTTCACTTACAGCAAGTAAGTTAACAATGGCAACAATAACAGGAGATACCACTAACATGGTGACTAAATTGATATTTTAGAGACATTTACACTCATGTTCTTTCTATATGTCGGCATTTTCTAACTTCTTATAAGCACCTATTGCAAAGCAAACATATACTTGTACATTAAGTCTTGTACACTAATAGTTACATCCGAAAATCTCAAATTGATACTTATTGCAACATACGCAGTGGCAGATTTCCTCTGAAATCCCTGCGAGAGTGGAAAATGATCATCAATCAGCTCCTTTCGGAGGCCTGTGAGTTTAGGGCCAAGGGATCCCAGCTAATCTTACATTTCTCTAAATCTGTACGTTTTACACACCAACATTCGAAAGTTTTGTTATTTGATAAAGAATATATGTATCTTTAAAAAGAATAAAGCACGGTCTATATTAACATACATAGTTTCTCCCTCCAGATCCTGCACCCCTTCTGCTTCCTCTTTCTTCCCTCGGCTTCCTGAGAGGAGGGTGTGTGTGCATTGGGGGGAGGGGGGCCTGCCAGGCACGGGGGCATCGCCGGGAGGAGACCCCAGCTCCAGCGGGAACAATGGAGATGTCTCCCCTTTACCGGCGATCGAAAGGCTATACCTGGCTGCGACCCCCGTTCGAACCTCGTCCCCCCGAAGCCGTTCACTACCCCTCTGCCCGCCGCAGACTCGCTCACCCACCTGGATCGGGGTCCGACCTTGGCTGTTGGGGGCATTGGGCGAGACTCCTGCCTGGAGCAGCGCCTGGACCTCATCGACGCGACCCCGGGCCGCAGCAGTGGCCAGCCTGTCGGCGGCGGAGACCTCCATGCGGCTCCCCGGCGCTCGCCCCTCGCTCCCCTTCACCCCCCCTTCGCTCTCCTTCACCGGCCCCCAGCGCCGCCCAGCCTCCGGGAACCGCCGCTCCTCCCTCTGCGTGCGGCGGGCGGAGGCGGGCCCCCGGCGAGTACTGCCCATCTTTCCATTCAGCGCTGCGCGCCTGGAGCCCCCCCCCCCCCCCCAAACCTGCCGCCCTGAGTCACCCCACGCGGGCAGCGTGCCCAGACCCCCAGCCTAGGCGGTCCGCACCCTGCGCCCCACGAAGCCCGGGGGGAGGAGAGGGAGCCCCGGCTGCTGCCACCTGCCCCGCCCGGAGCCCCTCTCCCCTGTCCCCCACCCGCGCGCTCCGGGACCGCAAGGGCGCACGCGGTCGGAGCGAGCTTCCTCCCTCCGGTGGTTGGACAACCCAGTTTGTATAGAGTGCTCACAGGGGTCCCCTGCCCGAGGCTAACCGGAGTGTTTGTCCACTGTCGTTTGATCTCGAGAAGCCCACGGTTGGAGGGGGTCGGGGAGGGGATGTCCTAAGAGGGTCGCCTCGGGTTGTGCAGATGGTGCCGCCGATCCTCGCCGGCTCCCGCGCTGGCAAAGAGGAAGGAGCCTTTTCTCGTTAGAAGAGAAAGCAGGGAAACGTTCATTTTGGAGCATGCCAGCCTGTCCCCCTTCCCCAAGAACACACGTGTAAAACGGGTGTGTGTGTGTGGTGGGGGGGAGTGGTGTCCCCGCATTTGTGCGTGGCCTGATGAGTTCTATTTAACGGGGATGCTGGAGATTTCTGTCTAGCCGGCGGATGGGAAAGTGGGGAGGAAGTGATTGGGCTGATCCACTCCATTGTAAATAAATTCCTCAGGGCTAGAAAATGTCCTCGGGGCTCTCAGGGAAGAGCTGCACAGTGACTCAGAGAGCAAGTTCACACGTTGTGCTTGTCTGGCTCCTTTCCACCCGCCTCCACTTCTCCTGACAGTCTTCTCAGCCAGAACATGAGGGTTAAGAGTGGTCTCTGCTTGACAGTGCTGTTGTGAGTTTTATTTTTTATTTTTTAAAATATATTTTATTGATTTTTCATAGAGAGGAAGGGAGAGAGATAGAGAGCTAGAAACGTCGATGAGAGAGAAACATCGACCAGCTGCCTCTTTTTTTTTATTGATTTTTTTTTTTTTTTACTGAGTGGAAGAGAGAGAGAGCTAGAAATGTCCATGAGAGAGAAATATCAACTAGCTGCCTCCTGCACACCCCCTACTTGGGATGTGCCCGCAACCAATGTACATGCCCTTGACCAGAATCGAACCTGGGACCTTTCAGTCCGCAGACCGACGCTCTACTGCTGAGCCAAACCGGGTTTCGGCTGTTGTGAGTTTTAAATGAATTAATGTACCTATAGAACACGTACTAAGCTAATACCTCTTCTCCTCTCCTCCTCCTCCCCCTCCCTTTTACACACACACACACACACACACACACACACACACACTAGCAATGGGGCAGACTTTTATTTAAAAGGCTCCTAGGGGTGTCGAACTCAATCAGAGAAGGGGCCAAAATCTAAAATCCAGCCTATATCGCGGGCCGAATGGTTTACTGAACAGTCATAAACTGTCATTGTGATAGAAACGCAGCGGAGTGCAGTGATGACAGCGCGGTGCGGGCCACATTGCAAGGCCTGGCGGGACGCATTTGGCCCGCGGGCCTTGTGTTTGACACATGTGGATGGTTCAAACACTATAGCTCCAATAGCTCGAGTCCATAGAAATGCAGTAATATCTCAAGGTTGTATACATAAGCACAGGAGCTGAAGGCCAGCTCACTTAGGAAAATTTAATCCTCTGCTGCTGAAGTAAACTTACAGGCGTGTCTGACCATACAAACAGAAGACCTGGCTAGAAAACTGTCTTTTCACACAATTTCACATAACTGTGGTGTGATTAGTTATTCTCTTGAGAACCTTACCCCAGCTAAGAAAAAAAAAATCTGCCTTGAAAATTTCAAGAACCTGGGCTA